ATATAATATAGTGAACAATGTTATATTAATAATAATAAATATATTTTATAACAATAATTAAAATAAAATATTTAAATAATATATACATATCACCAAGAATAAAACATTGGTGTGTAATAAAGTAAATTAAATTTTAAAAAATACTAAATAATAAACTAAACAAATGTATTTTATAATGTAGTAAATAATTCAAATAATAATAATAAATAAAATGTATAACAATCGTTAATACAAATAATAAAAATATACATAAATTTAAAATTATTTAAAATATAAAAATAACAATTTAATGTATAATAAATGTCTTTTATAAATATAGTAAATAACAGTAAGTAAAATAACTTTATAACAATAATACAAATAATAAAAAACATTAATATTAACATAACACCAACAATATAAACAATACATTCATTGTATATTAAATTTAATTAAATATAATAACATTTTAAAAATTAAATGTTAATATATTTTTATATAAAATATCAAATTGTAAATACTTGATATAATAATTATAAGAACAACAAAAAATGTTAAATTCTCTCACACATTGTACCTGCATACACTGGAACAGAAGGGTCATGATGTTGCTACGGGCAACCAGCTGGTCCACATGACCCCCGAGACCTTCGGCCAGACCGCTGAGCAGATCCAGAGCGACTATCATGAAGTCCTTATCTGGAGCCTCATACTGATCCGGCTGCTGGCTGTACATCTACACACACACACACACACACACACACACACGGGTGGGTTAATGACTGTGTGGTCCACTGATGTTCATGTTGATGTGTGTGAGTAAGTGTGTGTTCTCACCATGGCTTGTGCGAGTGTTTTCTGCACCAGAGTAACACAGCGCTGATAGACGGGCTCACAGTACGGGAGGAAACCGCTCTGTAATGCCGTAGCCACAGACGACAAACACTACACAGACATAAACACAGAGTGGACAGGAGTCATTTATTGTCTATTTTCACTTTCAGTTACAATTGTTTTATCAAAACAATGTACAATTATGTGTCATTAAAATAAAGTCAATTTAAACTATGAAATGAAGACTTTTTATTCTGTTCTCACCTCCAGCAGAGGAAACAGGTCTTTATCCTCGTCTTTCAGTTCATTCCACTTCTGGATCAGAGGAGGCATCAGTTTCTGGATGTATTCCTGTTCACACACACGCACACAACACAAGATCAGACCACTGATCTCTACGCCTACAAACACATACTAATAATATTTAGCTTTTTAAAACAAGTTGACAAGGGCAGGGATGAGCAGAGGCGGATTGAACCAAAAACATGCGTCATTTACGGTTTAAAAAAAAAAACTGACATATAATTGAAGATGATTTCCATCATTTTGGTGAAAAAAATGGTCTCTTATCTTTTGAGTTGCCCTACTTGCATCTGTGGTTTTTAGACAAGTTAAAACAGCATACACTACACAGTTCAAAAGTTGAATTAAACTGACAAAGTGACAGTAAAAGTTTCTTTTTCAAATCAATGCTGCTCTTTTGAACGTTCTATTCATTAAAGAATAAAAAAAAAAAAAAGGAACAGTGTTTCCACAAAAATATTAAGCAGCACAACTGTTCTCAAGATTGATAATATTAAATGTGTCTTAAGCAGCAAATCAGCATATTAGACTGATTTCTGAAGGATCATGTGACACTGAAGACTGGAGTAATGATGCTGAAAATTCAGCTTTGCATCACAGGAATAAATTACATTTTAAAATACATTGACGTATAAAACAGTCATTTTAAATTGTAATAATATTTCTTTTGTTACTGCATTTTTCTTCAAATAAATGCAGTTTTCATAAGCATAAGAGACTTCTAATTACCGGTTGGTTCAGATGATGTCCGACAGAGTCTGCCAGGGTGCCGATGGCGTCGTAGAGGATGAGCAGGTTCTTGTGCTGATATTTTCCAAACGCAAACACCAGAGTGTCCAAAATGAAACTGAGGTACGGAACCAGCTCCGTACACGCTTCCTCCTCCAGAGTCGCAAATGCACTGAAAAACATTACACAGTTGTTTTATAACTCTAATTCCTCAATAGATATTTCAGATGTGGATTTCTCTCAAACACTCACCTGCAGGCAGCCTCCTGCACCCTCTTGTTGCCGTCTAGGATGCGTTTGAGCAGTTCTGTCATGAGCGGTTTGAGGTGGGCATCTGGCGGCTGGCTCACCACCCAGTGTGCGTAGCGGCTGAGCGTCCAGCAGGCGATGGAGCGAACCAGAGCCTTCTTATCACACAGACACTGGATCAGGTGCGGGATGAGCTCGGGCAGGTACTGTACCATACCCTGCATACAGCCTGACGGAAAGAGACAGGACGTGTAAACACCTACTATTAAAGGGTTAGATCACCCAAAAATTCTGTCATTAATTACTCACCCTCGTGTCGTTCCAAACCCGTAAGACCCTCGTTCATCTTCAGAACACAAATTTAGATATTTTTGATGAATTCCGAGAGCTCTCTGACCCTCCATAGACAGCAATGATATTACCATGATCAACGCACAGAAACGTAGCAAGGAGATCGGTAAAATAATCCACGTGACATCAGGGGTTCAACCGTAATGTTATGAAGCTACAAGAATACTTTTTGTGCTCAAAAAACAAAAATAACAACTTTATTCAACAATTCTTCTCCTCATCCAGCCTCGGCACACCGCCATTGTGCAGAGAGTATCACACGTCTGCTTCCACTTCATGTAAACAACGCATGCGCATGGCGCTGCTGCTCACGTTAACACGCACATGCATCAGCACATGCATGCGTTGTTTACATGAAGGAGAAGAATTGTTGAATAAAGATGTTATTTTTGTACACAAAAAGCATTCTCTTAGCTTCATAACATTACAGTTGAACCACTGATGTCACATGGACTATTTTACAGATGTCCTTTCTACGTTTCTGTGTCTGGGAACATTTCAGTTGCATTGCTGTCTATGGGTTTGGAACGACACGAGGGTGAGTAATTAATGACAGAATTTTCATTTTTGGGTGAACTATCCCTTTCAGTGAATTCAGTATGTGTGAGTGTGAGACACACACCTTCAGCGATGGCTCCCAGCACCAGTATCCCGGACTCTTTGGTGACCCAGTCAGGGTGGAACAGCAAACCCTTCAGCAGCGGCAGCAGGTGCGGCAACAGGTCGTCCCGAAAGACGTTAGCCAACACGTCCAGCGCCGCCGCAGAGCACTTCCCTAGAAACACACGAAAATATACACACTTCATACACACAGACGAGCATTTACAGCAAGCGCGCTCTGATTGGTCGTTTACTCACGTAGGTTCCAGTCAGACAGCGTGTCGTCGTCATCATCCTCGTCTTCGTCGATGTCCTCTCCTTCCTCTCCCTCTCCTCCCTCGTGCTGCAGCGTGACGGTACGTGACTTGTGGAAGCGAGGCTTGATGTCCTGCTCGCTGTCAGGAACGTTGTCGTCCTCCTCCTCCACGTCACCCTGAGACACACACAGAGAGAGAGAGCGCAGCTGCAGTCAGATTCACACGGTCCCTACTGAGCACTCACTGCTGATAAATCAGTAGGACTGGGGAACAAAATTGATTTTCTAAAATTTCCAGCTCCAATATCAACTTGCAAAAAAAAAAAAAAAAAAAGAAGATGGGTTAGAAATCTCTTTCTATTGAGTTGTCTTCACAGGCTGCATGCAAAAATGAACAACACGACCGATGTAATCTGATTCACGAACAAATAACTCTTATGAACAGCTCTTCTGACATTTATGAGAGCACAGTGCAACCAGTGTAGCTCAAATCCTGAAAACAAGCCGGTTCTTTGAATGAATAGTTCAAAAATAATGAACTACTGATTTGAGTAATCAGTCGGAAACACTTCCCTGTATAATTTACAGCATTAAGCCGCAGTCACACTAAACTTTGAGCATGTGAAAATCGTTCGGACGGTGCTGCGAAAAAGGGCGGGAGCAGGATATGACATCACGCGCCAAAATATCCTCACTAGTCATAATTCTTTTCTATTTAAGTGATTACAATCAGTCACAAGTATAGTTAATTAAGTACACGCACAAATCTCATGTAATTAAAAAAAATCACATAAAATTAAGTTTCACTGTTCAAACGTACCATCCAATCCTGTTTCCCTTGCCACCGCAAACCAAGCCGCTTCTCTTTTTATGTAATTTTTGTAATCTTTTAAAGTTGTGTTATTCCTCCATTTCTGTACCAAGAGGTCACTTTGTGACGCTTTGATCTTCTATTGGTCTCACGCATTCACGTGACGCGAATTCACAGGTCAGAGTTCACCAAACTTGAACTTTGCTACGCAGCGAAATATCTTAGCACGGGCTTGCGTTTCCGGTCTGACGCATTCGCATGCGTATGAATGGAAGTCAATGGAACGAAAAGTCTAGTGTGACCGTGGCTTTAGCAGAGAGAATTCTCTTTTAAATTCAAGAATCCAAATCAGTGTGTCAACTAAAATCAAAACTATTAAAAATAATTTTTGGTCATTGAAATAAAGCAGAAATTAAAATATAAATAATTGATGAACTTAAACAAAAAATTGGAAATGCTAAAATAAAATGACTAAAAGTACTAAAATTAGTCAAATTAAAACGACAATAGAACTCAACTTAAAAATGTTAATATTATTAAAAAATTCAAAATATATAAAGAAAATAAAATATCAATTTTAGATGAAAAAACTAAAAAAAAAAAGTAAAAATTTTGTTTTGGCAACTTGTGAAATAAGTTTGAAGTTGAAAGTTGAGCAGTAAAATTAGTTACAACTTAGTGAACTAAATTAGTCAAAAAAAAAAGCTAAATAGTATAAAAATTTAAACATTTTTACAAAATTGCTACAACAAACTAAAACTGAAAATACAATAATAAAAGCTAATTCACATATTAATAAATAGTATATAAATAACACTAAAGTAACACCAATATTAAAACACACTCAAAATGAATCTGAATCGAATGCTTGTGAAACAATTGAATATTATGTGAATGCAAATTTAACTAATGCAATAAACATGATTTGATTCAAAGGAATATCCCTGACTCGTGTCTCATATATGGTGACTCACCTTCAGTAAAATGATGTCAATCTCAGAATACTTCATTCCGTTGACCAGGATGGGGATGAGTCTGTGGAGAAATACATCAACATTAGATCATCTCACTCAAATCAAGAGTTCAGATCAGATCTCTCAAACAGAACTAAACAGAGGCCAGAGGCTTCATCTGTGTGTTCAGTTTATGCTCAGATGTGTGATGATGGCCTGCAGTACTCACTGGACCAGGTGTCCTGACAGAGCCTCTTTACAGATGGGCTGCTCCGCCAGAGTCAGCCAGAATTCACACGCCTCCAGCGCCACGTTCTCATCCGCGTCCTGCGTGCGCTGCAGCATGTACTGCAGAAAGAGACACAGGCCAGATATAAAGCTCCTAAAACACCTTTAAATGACAGTAAGACATCAGATGTTAGTGCTGGTCTCACCTGTATGATGCTGTGCATGTGCGGTATCAGTCGGTCGATCCGGACCTCCAACAGCATGACCAGAGCTCTGCACACATTCTTCCTCACCTCGCAGTCTTCATCACCCGCCAACGCAAACAGAGACTGAAAACAAAGCACACACAGTACAGATGAGCTGAGCCCTCACCACTGAAGTAACTACAAATGCATGGGTCATCGTAAGCCGGATTGTAGTTGTGTTTATGACATACTAGGCTGCTGAAAAGTGTGCTTTCTTGAAAAAACTACAAGCTTGATTTGGCAAAGTTTGTTCAGGAAAAAATTGTGTGTTTGTGTGTTATGTGTATTTGAACCCTTTCCAACAATGACTATTCTTTTATTTATTCACAGTGTGAAAAGATGGATCTCAAAATCATACCGTCATTGTTGGAAAGGGTTCAAATACACAGAAATGCTGAAAAACCATAGAATTTGTGAGACCTGAAGGATTTTTCTGAAGAACAGCAGGCAGTTTAACTGCTCAGGAACAACTATTACTAAACAAAAACAACACATCTGTGGATCATTCAGGTCACAACACAGTATTCAGAATCAATGATTCAATAAACATTTGAACGGGGTCATTTTTATAAATTCAACTATTATTTTCTCTTGTGGACTGTATGTAAACACATCTTTTATGTCAAATATCTTATTCAGGTCAGTAATAAATAACATGCATTTTGTATGACCCCTCTTATTTTGGTAAAATAATTAACATTTTGCAGATTCTGAAAGGGGATGTAAACTTTTGACCTCAACTGTATATACACAAAAATATAAAAATAAATATAGAATTACATATAAAAGAACTGTGCACTATACTGTGCCATTAAAAAAAAAAAAAACTTGATTTTTTTTTTTTTTGATTCAGACCGAATCACTCTTTGGTTTGAATTATGGACTGAATCAATTAGTCAGCTCATTTCCTCATCGAATCAGCTCAGATGACTCACTCATTTAATGAGCTGAAAACTCTGCTGACAATTTTAAAATTACAATTACTGCATGAAATATTACTTATTACTTTTTGGTGGACAGAAACCGCTGTTTGCTGGAGGTCAACTCACCTCTATGAATGTGTCGATGTTGTCCATGAGAGCCTGAGCCCTGCCAATAATGAACTGATTCACACACGCTATGGCATGAGACCTACAGAGAGAGTGTGAATCAGCATGTTGTTACTCATTATCAAACACAGACAGTGTATCAGTGAGAGATGTGTGTGTGGCTCTTCACCTGATCTTGGGGCTGCAGTGTTTGAAGAACTGCAGGAATTTGGGGATCATGATGTTGAGGGGTCGATTCAGAGCGTCACTGTCCAGCAGTTCAGACGAGTCCTCACAGATCTTCTGCAGCGCACCAAAAGAACCCTGTACACACGCACACACGCAAACTCATTTCTGTTGTAAATCCCACTGCATTATGGGTTTATAATAGTTAAAAGAGGAATATTTGTACAAACTGTAACAACTGTTAGTGCGCCATGATAATTTCATGAAGATTGGTTTGGGAATTTTTAGTATGTCTGGTCACACCCATAATTTAAATGACAATTTTATAAACATCTAAATACTAAAGTTCAACTTTTTTGGATAATTATTGATCTAGCTAGTCCAGAGACTACACAAGTTCACTAGTTTTGTTAAGGTTGATCAAAAAACCTAAGACTAGTTCAAAAAAGCAGTTTAAGAAGGGCTGGACAATAATTCATTATCAATGTATATCGCTATATATTTTTTTTCAATAACGGTGATATGATTTTTTTAACACATTTCCGATATTTCGATATACATTACCAGTGTTTCCCATACATTGATTTATTTGTGGCGGCCCACCACAACTTCGTTGAATAAACATGAGCGCTGCACATTTCAAAATTAAAACGCGGCGCGGGTGTTTTATATGAATGTATCTTTGAAGGGAACCGACGGTCTTAAAATCGCACACCTGTAATTACCTGTATTTGCCCCCCCAAATTGTTAGTCATGGAATCCCTGATATCGGCCCTGCTGCAATTGGAGCGCTTAGCCAAGCGCTAAATACCCTCAACGTGTTTTTGCAGCGTTGAGCATTGTAACCAATCACAGACATATCAGTTGATTTCTTAAAAGCAATGGCCAATCAGAAACGTTTTGTCAGAATTTACTCACCGCTGAAAGCGCAGCAGTTTTTAAGTGCAGTTTTGCACGCTCGTGAATCATCTCATGACGCGATGTAAATAAGAAATTCAAGTGACACGGGAAAAAGACACGAAAAACTTCAGTGAACATCAGAAAAGCAGCGTGCACATTTCTGGTTAAAAATGAAAGGCCATCAACTGACAAACGGGAAGCATCACCATTCAAGTCAACAGGAAGAGCCAAAGCTAGTTCAGTTTACTAAACGGTGGCAACCTCTTTAAGTTATTCTTGACTGTGTTGGATTGACTGCTTTGATGTGTTGCAATACGGTAGGGTATTGTTTTGATGCTTACATCCGAAAAAAAAAAATCTTTTGTTTTTATTTATTTATTTCATATACATATATACAGTATATATATTTTTTTTTTTTCTTGCCCCCCCGACTCAAGAGTCAAATGTCACCCATGCCTGTATGATATCAACTGATGTCTACTCACCACATTGTTGTTATGTTCTTGAAAACACGCAAGTTAATTGTGTGTAAAAATGCAGTCTGGCAAGCCAATCAAATCACAAGGCACATTCTTATGCAACCGTTGTTGTTCAAACAGAAGGTCATGTCAAGTGCACTTCACTGTGGGATGAATATTGCACATTTTGGGAAAATACTAGGGATGTAACGATTATCAATATCTATATATGTATTATCAATATCGTGGTATCGCAATAGCAAAACTGTCTCAATATCATCATGGTCACATGACAATGTGAAACGATTGATCTTCCAGGCAAAAAATGTAGTTTTTAAAATATATTTAAGCTTCTTATTCTAACATAAAAGGTGTTTAAAGTTGTGCTTTGGGCCATTATACTTTGGCACAGTATCTGTCAAACAAGATAGCACAATATGGCTTAATCTCTTCATCAAGTCTGTTTTCGTTCAGGCGATCAGCTCATGATCCGGGGTTTTCCGCGCCTCAGAACGGCTCCGTTCACAGTGAATGAATGCAGTGAAATCATTTATTGCATGTGCTGTGAGTTTAGCACACGTTTGGCAACGCAACAGCCACCAGTTATGCTTTATTTTGATGGTAGATGATTACAGCATTTCACTAGATTTGTAGTGAGACGCGTTTTTTTGTAAGCCTGTTTTCACTGAAGCTGGAGTTTTGTGTCAAAATAAAAGCTCTACTGCCGTTTACGTCAAAATAACAGCATAGAAATGCAGTATGAATTGCTGACAGTTAGCGGTTTAAAATGCAGTCCAAATTCAAAATATCTCTTTCAAGTGTAGAAATTAAGAAAGTAGTATTGTAATTTTCCTACTGTAGTGTAAAGCAAAAATAATTTGCCAATGAAATACTAATTTTCATTTATTTTACAAGTGCAATTGTTTTACAATATATGGCTATTACTGTCATAAGAATAACAATAATATAGAATTGCTGTTATTATTATTATTACAATCTGATTTGTTTGTCTTCCTAAAACACCAGTGTGAATGTAATTTAGACTCAGTATACCACAAATTAAAAGAGGGTTGAGTTCCCTTTAAAGTTCAGGTACAAGTCAATTCACTGACATTTTCTGACTTAAGTTTTCTTAGTTAAGAACATGGGTCGGAGCTCTTAATATTGAACTCTCAAAGTGCATTAGAACTCTAAAATGTACAAAATTTTCATTTTTTCCAAGTCTTCATTTGTCTTTTTTTTTTTTTTAAATATATATATAAATATCGCAAAAATATCGTACGGTGGACTTCATATCGAGATATTATCGTACCGTGAGATTTTGATATCGTTACATCCCTAGAAAAAACTGAACAAGCACTAGGCTTGCTGCGGTAGACGGTGTTTTCGGTTATACTGGTGTTAAGCCACAACACCGGTTCCATCATTCGCCTACCGCGGCACCGCCCCCCACCGTCGTTTTGATTTTTTTATAGTAACAAAAATCATTTAGCCTAGTTCAGTTAGAGGATAGACACTTTTAAAAACTAAACGCTCAACTTAATGCTCAACCGTGCGCGAACGACAGTGCACCACGGAGCAGGAGTCAGATTTTATTTATCACGGCGGCAATTCAATTGCCGCTAATTTGAAAGTGAAAGTAAAATGCGCATATAAAAGAAATGATTAAATAGTATTTTAAAATTGGGTGTTCGGTCAACAATGGGAGTTTGGTTAATACATACTCAGAGATGTGCGTGTGTTTTACCTCGCAGGTGTTGTAATCCTCCGAGTTGAGGAGGTTGCAGAGTTGAGGCAGCAGCTCAGGCCATGTCTGCAGCTCCCCTTTAGACGCGATAGTAGTGATGAGAATACCTGCAGACACACGGACACAAACTCAACTATAACACAAAGCTGAATAAGCTATTTGTGTCACTTAAAGACAATCAATACTTCTGTAATTACATTTAATCAAATCAAATCAAATGAAATCAGCTCAAAGCGTCTAAATCAGAGTTTTGTAGACGTTTACTCCACATCTATTACGGTCTAACCCACTCAAACCCGGGTTCAGACTGACCGATGGTGGCGCGGATGAGCGGGGACGGGTCTCCGATGTTGTTGAGACACTCTCTCTTGATGAAGTCGGCCACGGCCGGAGGGAAGTTCTGGTAGTGAGCCTTCACGTTGTTCTTGAGAATCAGACCGCTCAGAGAACGGGTGGGCTCGTCTGCAGAGACACAGAGATGGGCCTTTAGACGAGTGACAGGAGAGTGTGTGAGACACTGAGGCAGATGATGCACCATGGGATATACAGACCTTCAGATTTGAGGCTGGTGAGGACGAAGATGAGATAGTTGTTGAAGTCTGGAAACTGATTCAGCTGCTCCAGTTTCTAATGAGAGAGTCAGGAAAACATTAGGAAAAATTCAACAGAGAGCAAAGAAAGAAGAGGTCTGGTCTCAGACCAGAGACGTTTATTAAGATGTACACAAAAAATCATTTACTCATTTAACAATTTTAATACTCTTCAAAAACAGACTATTATGTTGCCTATAAACTATGTAAGTAGATTAGATATTTAAAAAAAGGGACTAGAGTGACAAAGTTTGATTCATTTTCTTGAATGAGTCAGTTACTGTCAGATTAAATCAATAAATCACTTCCAAAACGAAAGGATTAAACAAATCATCTTCAAATTTACAATCCTCTGCATCGCATTTTAGGTTTTAAAATGTTTTAGGGAACAAATATCGAGGTAAATATTGCTGTTTGTTACAATAAATTTTTATATCTTCATAGTAGTATAGTAAAAGTATCTTCTGCTCACCAAGACTGCATTTATTTAATTTAAAAAAAAAAAACAGAAAAAAACACTAATATTGTAATATATTACTACATTTTAACGTAACCGTTATATGTGAACATATTTTAAAATGTAATTTATTGCTGTGATCAAAGCTGAATTTTCAGCATCATTACTCCAGTCTTCAGTGTCACATGATCCTTCGAATCAGAAATCATTCTAATATGCCGTTTTGCTGCTCAAGAAACATTTATGATTATTATCAATGTTGAAAAAAACAGTTGGGCTGCTTCGTATTTTTGTGGAAACCGTGATATTGCTTTTTTCAGTATTCTTTGATGAACATTAACGTCTTTACTGTCACTTTTGATCAACTGAATGTGTCCATGCAAAAAAAAAGTTTTAGATTCATACTTTAAAAGTATTAAATTAATTTTAAACAAAACAAAAATCATACTTGAGCGTATGACCCATCACTACTGTGCACGTGTACTGTGTACTTGAGCGTATGACCCATCACTACTGTGCACGTGTACTGTGTACTTGAGCGTATGACCCATCACTACTGTGCACGTGTACTGTGGACTTGAGAGCTTCACGCGGTTGCAAGTGGTGCTCGTCCGCGGTTGCGGTCCGTCAGTGCGTTCCAGGTGCGGCGCGTCTGCAGCAGTGCAGCAATCGTTTACGCACCGAGTCTATTTTTGCTGTGCTGCACGCGCGGAATTAAAGTGACAGCGCTTTGTTCGCGGTGAAAATGAACATGGATTGAGACTGAAATGTAGTAATTTCACAATAAATAGATATAATTAAAGTCTACTGTGTTTCACGGGCTTTTTGGCTAGGTTTAAAACAAATAAAAGTGCACTTTTAGATATACAAGGCAACATATGCACTTGTGTCTTGTGGAGGTAGAAAAACAAAGTTCTTTAAGACCCGCTGGACTGTTTGTAATAAAGATTTAAATGTAAAAGGCACGAGAGCCGACTGTTTCTGTCAGTGGTAAGTTTTAATTTAAAATATTTGTGATAACCTAACACAAGAAAGCTATATGCTGTATTCAAATGTGTTTCCACTTGCTTGAGCAACCTAATATACACATCTAAAAGCCAAATTATGTATCTTTGTAAGTCATTGTAAGCCCATTTGAGGCACGCGCAAGCGCACGAACACCCCCCGTTATAAAAAAAAAAAAGTGGGCTCCCCCAAAGTCCACGGTATAGTTCGAACACTGCGTGTACCAAATAAAAACTGCCAACACAGATACTAAAAATCTGACTGAAAACATGTCAACATTTGCCCAGTTGTTACGGCTAAAATTCACAGTATATTTATTTGATAACCTGGATAAATAAGCGTTAAACACATAAGTGATCATGATGATAGAGTAATGGCGCTTTTCCACTGCGTGGTACGACTCGGCACGGTACGGCTCAGTACGGCACGGCACGGTTCGGCTCGGCACGGTTTGCGTTTCCACTGCAGTTCAGTACCGCTTTAGAGTGGGCGGGATTAT